AAGGCTTCAGTTGGCTTTGGAAGGAGCAGGTTATTAATATTCTGGTCTGGCTGATTAACAGCAAGGAAATGTGCTGCTAATTCTCAGGCTTCTTGTGTTCTCCTTGTGTATCACACTCTTCCTATATGTTGCTACATATTGTAAACTTCACTGACAGTTCCTTTTTTTTTAAAAAAAAAAAGGACATAGTGTATTCTGGGGGTGGTGGGATGTTCTTTTTGCTGGTGATTTGTGCTGGATTCTTTGACATCATTTATACTGAAAATGTTGTAATTTTTTTCTTTTAAGCTGTATTATGTTAATTTGCGAACAAAAAATGGAACCTATAGGTGGAAAAAAATCACAAATTTTAAAGGTCAACCTCCTACACCACGTGACAAGCTTTCCTGCTGGGTGTATAAGGACAGGTAACACATTAAGAATATTTAATATGTGTTAATTGCAGAGAGGAAGTACTGTAAAGTGAAGAGAACACAGGTTTGGGATTCAGGAAACTCTAATTCTTAGCTTGGCTTGCTGTGGGAATTTGTGTAACTCTTCTAACAACTTTCTACCAGAGTTTTCTCACATTTGAGCTGAATTTAGGGTAAGTATAAACCCACTTTAGGAGAGGGTTGGGAAATTCAGTGAAAGTTTCTGGAATGCTTTGAGACTTTAGATAAAGATGGTTATGCATCTATCATGGTTTTAATTTTAACATAGGTTTAAAAACCAGTATGAAAATTACATTGGTTTTTGTTGCATTATGTAAGCATAGAATTGTTACCTGCAATAAAATATATTTGGTGTATTTTCAAGGATTTTAGTAACATACAAATGCTGATAATTACAAAGGCATTTCAGTGAGTATCTTTATTTTCTAAGAACCAAGTCAGCTTAGATACATGTTGTAAAAGTTACTGAGTGTATTTAGAAAAACTACTTATCTAAAAATAAATACTTTGGATTTTGTGTTTATTATGGAGAGTGTGTGGATCTTGTGGCATATGTGGTCACAAGAAAGTGACATATCAGTGAAGTGTGTGGATCTTGTGGCATGTGTGGTCACAAGAAAGTGACACATCACTGATTTGTTGTAAAAGTTACTGTAAACAAGTAAGAAAAGGATACACAGTGAACACTGTAAAATGTAAATGATTTTTCTGTTTCTGGATTTCACATCTAAAGAGGTTTTGCGTAAACTGTATAATGCCTCTCAGTTACTATATCTTGGTTTTGTAATTCTAATTTAACTGTGAGATACATGAAAGTAAATATATTTGAACAGGCTCTCCTTAGCTATCAAGATTATTCAAAACGAAATTAATCTATTCAGAGTATCATGTGATCCGCATACAGAGAAAATTACCTATTTTAGGTGGCAGAGCTTAACCCTTTCATTTACCAGAAGTATTTGGGGACAAGCTACCCACCTTTACAGAAGTTTACCTTATTAAACTTTCACAAGCTGTGATTTTGCAGGTCAGGATGTCATGGTGTCTTGCACGATGCTTTCAGTAACTCTGTTTCCCCAGGAATGTCAGTCTGGAATGACCTTCACCGTCCCATCATTTCCTAAATTGCCTTCTCCCAAGATCACTAACAACTAGAGCAAATATCCTCAAAATGTTGAAGTTAAAACAAAACTTTAGGAATCATTACTTATGGATGGCCATTTCGTGGGTGGAATATTAGGCTGGGAGGTGTGTAATACTCGCGATATGTTCAGTAGTAAGTAGTTGAAAAACAAAAATGTCTTTATAAGCTGGAGAAAGTCTTTGTGGGTCACAGAGAGTCTGTGAGCTGAACCTTGGGAACATTTGTTGTGACGAGACGTATATGGAAAGCTAAGAAATACAGCAGGAGCTTAGGAATTTCAGTAGAAAAGGGTAGGATTTCTAGCATTTCACTGCCTTCTGTGCAATGTGTTGTTTTGAGACTCGTGTCTGAAAATATGACTGTGATAAATAAGCTTGTGGATGGAGGAGTAGAGGCTTCAAGGTATCTTAAACCTCCTTCCTTCCTTCCGTGGATTTCTGTCAGGCTTCTGGAGGAATCTAACTATTAACCTTCATTTCAGTAAGGTTTGCTGTGTAATTAGATGCTAGATGAAATATTTCAAGTTGTTTATATTATTCATAGTGCAGTAGGTAAACAAAAGTTTGAAATTAATTATGACAGTTAATTTATTTGAGTGTTATTTACAAAACAGCTAACTGAACATGCTTGTGTCCTTGCTTTTTTAGGCTAATATATTTTGGTGGTTATGGCTGTAGGAAGCATAATGAGCTGAGTGATTGTTTTGATGTCCATGATGCATTTTGGGTAAGAGATTTGTCACAATTCAGAGTGATTTGTCCTTCCTGATTGTCAAAACATGTTTTTTTTAATATACTATACTCAGTAAGGATGAAAAACCTGACTGATTTTTCTTTTATTTGTAGCATCAGCGGAAATGCAAATTAGAATCTTCTGGTTAGATTTGAAATTTCAGATATTACACATTGGGAGCAGTGGGTGTTCAGCCTATTCCAAGTACCCCGTTCTAGGCATGGAATGCAATTAAACAAAATGCTGTCAGAGCAGGAACAAAGGGCCTTTTTTAAATCTGGAGACATATTTTAAATATGAAACCCCCAGAAAACTTTAGAATTTGTATCGTTGAAGTAAGAGAGGGAGTTTGTAGCTTCACAAGTCTAACTGACAAATATTGTTAGTTAGTTTCTTTAATTTGTTATCTGTTACTTTAAGATGCCTGAATTAGGTAGTTTCCTGTAATGATTTCTTACAGTTAATAGAAAGAAGGAAACTGATTAGAATGTTTAGTGACAGGAATTAATAAGAAATAGATATGCATTCGAGAGAGTATAGTTCCTTGCATCAAATGGTAAATATTGACTTACAGAAATGTATTACTGAGAAATAAATAGATTGTACAAAGTATGTTGCAGTAAAAATTAGAAGGTAGACTTTGTCTCCTGCAGTGACTGATGTGAAGCCCAAAGCCCATTTTCAAGTGTGTCATCAGCTCTAACATTCCTGGATGCTGTTGATCTTCAATTAGACTTGAGCCATTGAATCATTATTAAAAATATTAATGTTTGTTAATAAAATGCTATATTTTAGGGTTTTTTCTGTTTTGATAGATCACTTCTGGGTTTGTATCCTTTAATAAGCACAAAGATTTTAAACTAGAATAAACTTGGTTTTAATTTTTTCACTTCTTTTTTTTTTTTTTTTAAGGAAGGACAAATATTCTGGGGATGGCATAATGATGTTCATGTTTTTGATACAACCACACAAACTTGGTCTCAGCCAGCAATTAGAGTGAGTGTTTTTCCAGTTTTGTCTTTTAATACAATTGGGATTTTACTGCGTTTTGAATAGTTAAATGTGCTCTAGAAATTGAGGTTGGGAGAAGTAATTTGAATATGCTTAGTATTGCTGGGGCTCATAACATTAAACAGGAGGCCACTCAGTGCCTCTGAAATGTGGAAAATTCAGGAATGAAAGGAATATTGTTTTCCCACAGGATGCTATTAGACTGGTGGTTTTGCTGTAATGGGGTTCTGTTGCAAAAAATATCATAAGCGTCAGAAAAGTATTAGAAATCTGAATACATTAGAAGATGGTACGTTATTCTGTATCTAGGGGATAGTTTTGAGATAAAGCTTTGTATTCAAGCTTCTATTCTTCAGCAAATATGCTATTTTAATAGTCTTCCAAAGGAGCAGGTATACTCACTTTCCCAGTAAAACAGTAATGCACACATTTGTATTTATTATATTAATATGATAGTATATTATAAAGGTTCATAACATCCTGGTGAGTTTACATAAGAAATCCGTAGAAGCAGCATATTGTAATGAGGGTCTGACAGTATTTTATGGCCTTTATAGGAAGTTCTAAAATTCCTATAAAACTAAATGCAAAAAATGAAATTACCATTGAAAAGTAAAAGCCAATTTTGCTATCTTTATTTCTGATTTACACAGGGAATACTTTTTGGCATGTAGTTGTTGGATGTAACATCACATTTTAAGATGTGATTTCCAGAGATTTTTGTACCAGTTCCTGTTGGTTCACACTTTGGAAAAATAAAGCTGCACGGGATATATCAACAATAACTGATGTGTTACTGTAGTTTTATGCTTAGGAATTAAAGATAAATTGATTGAATTTCACTTAAGCAATGATAAATCAAATCAAGAGATGATATATTAAACATTAGCTACTGAGGGAACTCAATTAAAGCTGTCCTTGGCAAATATGTGTGTCTTCTAATGGCTGTGGAGACTTGGACATGACTACAAATTATTTCCTTTTGAAGTTGCAGTTCTGATGTAAGTTGGCCTTAATTTTGCAGTCTCTGTGGTACCAGCTTGTCACTGTCCTTGGCTGGCGCTTTGGTGATGTTTGAAGGATCTTGTTTTGGTTCTTTCAGGGTGGAGATCCACCTCAGCCTCGAGCAGCTCACACCTGCGCTGTGCTGGGAAATAAAGGTTACATCTTTGGAGGACGAGTGCTGGTTAGTGTTTAATTAAACCATTTTATTGGCAGTAATATTATTTTCTTGGCAGTTACTTTATTTATAACAAGTTATTTTTGTAGTAGAAAAAAATCCAAGATGTCTTCAGCCTAACCTCTATGTTAAGAGTGTTGACTCTAGGATGTTTCTTTTCATCCCCCTCTACCTTACAAAAAAAAAAGTCTGCCTTTCTGTCTGTAGAAATGCAAATGTTTATAAATCAACAAAAAATGGTTGATGTGTGCACAATCCCTGCAGGAGTGGTTCTGTGAGAGGGGAGCAAAAGCAAGCCCAATGATGATAGACCAGGTTTAAATAAATGATGAGATGCAGCTTTCTGGGCTTGCTACAGCTTAGCAGATTTATACATCAAACCTGCAGGCTTTTTTTTCCCCCCCATTTCACTTAATGAAATGGTAGCAACTAGTAAATATAACTGGGATTTTAGCCTGTGCTTCCCCTTCTTTCCCTGTGCCTGGCTTAAAGAAAGAGGAAATGTGTAAGAACACTCAATTACATCCACATCTTGCATACCCTGAGGTTTGCCCTCTGGGGAAGCGAGGTTCAGAATAGCTGGTGGGATACAGGATTTTATATTTAGAGTTGCAACATGTGGTTCTGAAAGGTAGGCAATAATGGATTCCAGTTGGCTTTATAATTTAAACTTGTCTTTTTTTTTTTTTTGCACATAAGTGACTGAAATACAGATGTCTGTGATTAATAGCTTTGTACCCAGCCACTGTAGTCTCTGTACGTTCAGGCTGGTGCAGGAGGCAGCAGCGTGTTCTCTGATAGCACAGGTCATTCTGGTCCTTTTAAACCTCTCCTCTGCCCTCTGAATGTCAGTCTTACACTCTCAGTCTTTACCTTTAGTGTTCTCTGTGCCCTTAGTACAGAATATAAGCAGAAACCATAGACATTGCTGTTAACAGCTTTATTCTGTGCATCCAATATAAGCTCTTTGCCACAAGAGTAAGGCTGGTATTTGCTTTCCTGATAGGAAGCAAGGAGATACTAAAAGCTCTCAGCAACACACTTAATTTTTCTAGTACTACTTAGAGGAGGTTTTCTCTTAAATTCTTCTTTGCTGAAGCATTAATGTAAGAATTTAAGCCTGAGGCAGCAATCGAATATAGAAAACATATTCCTGTTTTATGTCTGAAAATAAGGATGGCAGGAGGTAATCTTAACTAGTACAGGCTTCCCTAGCATTTGTGAATTTTTTGCTGGGATAGTTCCTTTGTGGGCTGGAAAATGTGCTGCCTCTTTTTAGAACTGTTGCAAAAGCATAGGGAAAATAGTATTTTTAAAGGTCTCTATATAAGCTGGAGTTTATGAGGAATGTGGAAAAAACAATCTGTAAGGCAAGTAAAAAAACTCCTAATTTAAGTTACTGTGTACTCTTCCATATTTTTTTTTTTAAATTTGAGGTTTTTTTAGCTCTTTTTATCCACAGCTAATTTAGACCCTTTAATCACATTCAGCTCGAGGGTGAGACTTGGTGCTTTCTATCTCTATTGCTGTGAAAAGTAGCAGCGAAGAAGCTTTTTGAAAGCCCTCAGTGCTGTGTTTCTATAGTTTCGTTATACGAAAGAGAAGGAATTAACTGTTGGTTGGAAATGCCCTGCAATGAACGTACGCCAGCTTCAGCTGGGAAGGCTGCCATCACCCAAGCCCTGTTTTTCTCAAGTACTTGCAAATGAAACGGTGTAAAATTGCACTTTGTTCTCTGTCCCCTGTTTGTCGTGCTGTAAAAGCCATGTTCTTCTTGGGGAAAGTCTCCAGCTCTGTTCCGAGATGGCTTACTCCTGCTTGCTTAGACAGAAACCAGACGTACAGACCCAGGGAGGTTTGAATTGCCTCCCACAGCTGCAGCAAAAGTGGTTGTTTTTTTTCAGCTGAGTACCTCTTCCGAGCAATGAGGAAGGAAAGTAACCACCATTGATCCTGTTTATTCTGTTCTGCATTACGTGGCCTTTCCTACAGGCTCACGATCTCTGGAACTGGTGCTAAAACCCCACCTCTGCCTGAGAGAGGTGCGTGCAGCAGCTTCTGGAGCTGTAGGTTTAGACAAACTTGATTTGCCAATAGTTAAGGAATTAAAAGGATATTAAAAGAGATTGAAAAAATACTTGAATCTTGTGTGTCAGGGCTAGCTGTGCCGGGCTAAGCGAGCCCTGAGCCTTAATATGGACTTGCTCTTTTGTGTCTGCTGTAAATGAACTCTCACTAATCACAGAGGAACTGAATCCTGCTCCTCATTTAGAGGAGATGTGAGAGGGAAAGAAACCTAGATGGGAAGAAATAAATATGCAGCTAAGGGCCTTCTGGCCTCCCATTTATTTCTGAACATTTCCTCAGCCTTCAAAGACTCGCTCCCTCTGGCTTTTTGTGAGCAAGGGCTATCTGTGTGTGGCACAGAGACCATCACACCAGGAACAGAATAACAGAGTTCTGTGTCCAGGCTCCTTAGGGTCGCTGCACTGTGCCTCTTGCAACTGAACTGCTTTGTAACTCCATCTAGGATTCTCCTGCAGCCTCTGTGAGTGAAATTATGGGTAAACTGGAGGTCACCTGCCATTTCTCCGCTGTGCTGGTGCATGATTAGACGTGCCCTGAGAGGACGTGCCCTCTGGCTTCTATTTAACTCTGACAATTTGACTGCAGGATTCAGAAATACAAGAAGGCTGTGATCTGACAAGGTTTGTCTCTTCCTCAGGCAGCATCAGCTTCCTTAATAACCCTTTGCTAAATTTCAGTGAAACCGCTTGGGAACAGTGTCAGAGAAGAGTGAAATTTTTGAAAGCTTTATTTCATTTTGTAGGAGAACAGCAAGTGTAATTTTCACCTTCTTGATACTCTTATTATTGATTGACTTTCTATCCTAGAAATAAATGGACAGAATTTCACAAAGGTTAGGGAACATTCATTCAGTGGGACTTGAGGAATTAATGTAAGTCATGAAACAGGAAAGGAAAGCTAAAGACATCAGGAAAACACTGCATTTCCTGGCAACAGGAGTAACTCCTCCCCAAAGGATGAAGTCTTGCTTATCCCCATAAATTAAGGAGCAAATACGGGGTTGCTCTGCTCCTCCTTCTCCTTCTAGTTCACCATGATACAAATCTTCCCAGGGAAAAGGCTCTACAAGGAACCAGAAAGGGCCAGGAAGTGTCATGAGGCTTCTCCTATTCATCTTTCTGGGAGGAAAGGGCACCTTTTTCCAAACTTGGAGCTAGAACTGGTAAAAGAAGATGGTGATGATGATCAAAATCAATTGTACCAGGAATCATTTGAAAACAGGCTCAGAAGTGTTATGTGGACTCTGTTCCTCCAGGTAAGCCCCTGAAAAAAAAACCAGAAACGGGAAAAAGTGGGAAGGAAGGAGATTTAGTCCAAAAGTTGATGCGAGTCTTGTGTTTGATTTAAGCAGAAAGTTTTCATGTAAAGAATGATGAAGTACTAAAACAAAGTCAGTCCAGCAGCTCTTCACACCTCTTGCCTTAATGCATGCGTGTTGGTATTTCCTGTTACCCTTTCTGTCCCTGAAGATCAGAAGATACATTGAACTGCAGTCCTTCTCTGACAAAGATTGGAGCTGTAGTAGCTGTTTGATTTTTAAATCTGAGAAGGGAGAGCTGCAGAGAGTTTACTGTAGCAGCAGAGAGCTGTGAATATGTCACCCTTAACGCCTTTCATCGCGCTAGAAAGCAAATCCTGAGACAAAGCAGATCCTGGTTAATGTTTACTGGGCTGCAAATAAATGAACATGCCGTAGATAAGTTGAATGTCTAAGGAGTGCTTGTAGCTCAAAGGGAAATGCAAACCCTCTTATGAGGCTTGATGCTTTTAAGCCAGTTAAGAATCGTTTTAGGATTATAAGTTAAATGACTAAATACAGTAGGCAGCATTTAGAAATACACAAGAAACTGCAAGAAAACTTTGCAAGTGATGATTCTAGGACCTGCCTGTGTGCTTTACAGCTTCCCAAATAAGGGTCGGGTAGAGAGGCATTTTCTTTTGTTAAAGCTATGTTAAAGGACTGAATCTTAGACATAAATGTCCAACTGATGCTGTGTTTTGCATTCAAAATTAGGTTGGTGTAATTATGCATCTGTCAATCTGTTGAATGGTGAGAATGTAAAGATTATAACGCATTGATTTCCCAGGGACCAAGAAACTGAAAACTGCTCCATCTTCTGCCTAATGCCTAGGAAAGGAAAGTCAGCGAGGAGGGCTTGAACAGGATCTTCTTGAAACCTTCATTTCCAACATAACAGCAACTTTCTTTCTTCCCGTTCTTTAATAGATGTCCTCCATATCCAACTGTGTATTCCAAGATGATTAAATATTTTTAGTTCTAGAGGCCAGCATGTTGCTTCCCCCCCCCCAACCCCTACCCCCAAGGGCTTTGTACAGGTACAGCAGAAGATACTCAGTAATTGCATTTTGCTTTCTGCTTGTATAATTTGTTCCTCATTGCCTTCAAAGCCATCTGAAGGAGCAGGAAACTCAATAGACTTGTCGTGGAAAACAGATCTGTTCCTCTAGCTGTCAGTTGGACCACGCTTTGTTGTTATATTCACCCTCTTGCAGGGATAAAGTTTCTCAGGCGATGCACAAAAGCCCTCACATCCTCATTTCCTTTAGCTTGTTGGCCTCTCTGAAGGCATTTCCAAAATGCTACTAGTTAAGATCTTCTTCCCTTGGACAGAAAAGGGCTAGCACTTGATGAGAGGAGCCTGTAGCTATCCTGCAAACCTTGCTGTTTCCTGAAATACCTGGAGAGACTTCCCGTAGCTCCGATGGACAGCTTTAGAAGTCTCTCAAACTCACTAACGGGCTGAGTTCTCGGGGGTAAAACCACTCCTGCTCTGACTTAAATGACGAGTCTAGTTTCTGCCTCAAAAGGATCTGCAAGCTGGAGAAAGGCTTATTCTAATAGATCTATGGACTACCCTAGGAGAAAAGAAATTGTTAAGGTAAGGCAAGATACATTTCCCTACTTCTCAGATACTGTTTTGTAGTACCCAGGAGAATCACAAATACCAGTTGAGTGTTTTGGGAGCCATTGAAAATATTGCCGCAATCTGAAGCCAAGAAGTTCTTTCGTAAATTTCCCCCTACCTTTATGTTTCTAAGGCAATTAGTGTCTTCATCTCAAAAGAGAGGCAGATATTCAAGTGCATCCATTTCCCGTTGTTCTTATTGACGCATTTTAGTATTTTTATGGCAAATGCTAAAGGGTCATAAAAACCTTGCTTCTAGTCATAACATTGTGAAAGGACTCGCCTTCAGGAACAGAGAGGAAAAACACAGATTGATGAATTTTTTTGTGGGATGTCCTGTACTGAGTGACAGTAGCAACTAGAATATTTCAAGGAATAAGCCACCAGGCAGGAGGATGCATAATTCTGGTCAGAATGCAAAGGAAAAAAACAGTGAGAGGAGACTATAGGTAGAGTATTAAACCTTCTGTGATTACCTACCATGAATTCTCTGGATGAATATGGAATAGGTTTGCAGGAACTGAGTATCACGTAGTTCTTCGCTATTAAACTCCTATTAAAAGCTAAAATTGGCCCCATGCTGCCATTGCATTAATGTAAATATTCCTGACAGGTAGTTTCCTGAGAGTTGCATGGGGTTTTTGAGAAGAAATTCTTTTCATCTGCCACGTAATCCAGAGTTGGTTTAAGCCACATGGGTACAGTTTTCTTCAAAATATTGTTACTTGGAATGTTCTGTCCTGGGAAGGCCTCGCTGAAATATTTTGCTCGTTGTTTGCTTTAATATAACACAACTGGGATTTTTATTTATTTCTTTTAGCAAACTAGAATGAATGATTTGCACTGCCTGAATTTAGACACTTGGACTTGGTCTGGAAGGTAGGTTTCTCTCTCTAACAACATTTCAAGTAGAATACAGCAGATTGAAACATACTGTTAAATAGTTCCAGTGCTAATTTTGTAGCTTTTCGAAGAGGAGAATGGGAGTTTGGGGACTACTTTAACAGCTGTTATATTGTGATTTCAATTTAATTTAATTTGATAGTGGTTACTAAGCTTTTTCTGTTCTGCATCAAAGCACTGATGATGCTATTTTAAGCACAGCATGTAGTGATTTAACACCATCATTTTCAAGACGAGTACATTTATTTTAGTTTTCATGTCTTTTTGAAGACTGTTTTTACTAGCTATATAGTTGGCTCGTTATGGTACAGAGTGAAGAGGGATCTGCCCTCTCCAAGATAAGCATCTTAACCACTTTTTTTTTTTTTAAATCAAGTAAAAAGCATCGCCTAAATATTTCATTTTTAAACTAAATCTGTTATTATTATACTTCCTAAGACTTATTTGTTTGCATGTAGCATTTAGGATAGCACCTCCTGCACGTGTAGAATCAGTGGGTCTATTGTTACCTAAACAGTAAAGGATGGGTGATAACCACTGCTCTGTTCCTATTCTTGAGGTAACCTAATAGTAATTTAATAAAAGACTATGAAATAACACCTTTCCTGAATACGTGTAGGTATGAATGCAGGAATATAGCCAGAAGTTACCTTGCCTTCCCTGAGCTCCACTGACCTGTTATTCAACACCTTCAATATTGAAGTTATTTCTGTTACTGTGATATTATTTTGTATCGGTAGCTTGAAAGATTGAAACGTTATCGCCCCTGGGTATCTGGTAGATATTTTTCTAAACATCAAAGCCTGTTGGATCTCAGCACAGTCTGCCTCTCTCTTGCCAATTTTAGAAGCATCTTATACAAGAGCTGTGCAAAGCAGCCGTTCAGACATTGTGACTTGGCTCCAACTTGGGTACCAAATTTAGCGGGACAGTTTTGCAATCACTGTTTTAATTAGCTACGATTCTTCAGCCTTTGCTTCCAGATGGAGAAGTGCTTAGCAGTCACCAGCATTGAAATTCCTCTGACTGAGCTGCAGATGCCTCTATTACTCACCCTGGGCTTCCTCTGTGCTCAGTTAAGAGAAACAGGCGCTTCTTGGGCACAGGACAACTGCTGCTGAGGTGGACATCTGAAATAAATTACAAGTTGTGCTTTTCAAGGCCCTGTTTCTTTTCACTGATTATAAAGGAAATCGAGATGACTGTCTCGGTCTACACTGTTCATGTTGTAGATTGGGCACACACCTGTGTATATTATACTCACTTCACTTCAGTAAAGTGGAGGGAAAAAAATAAACTGTTTTTTTGAGATACGATCCACCTGGATGGAGCATTCCCTTTTTACCTCTTCTGGACAGTGTCCGAGTAAGATTCTGAACCCCCCAGGAGAGTTTATGGCTCTTTGCCCCTGCTTTTTCCATCACCTTTCTACAATGAGACACACTGGGTGTGTGGTGGCCTAGATTTTTGGTTCTAACTTTAGGTTTTATTACAACAGAAGTTGTCTCTTTGCTTAATATCAAGATACCAGGTGGGCTGGTGCCCTCTGGAGGTTCTGCTTCTTTTCTGTGGGGATCCTCCTGAGACAAGGGTACACCAAAGTGCCTAAACTCAGGTGATGTGAATCCAGGCCACCCACTAGAGGGAATCCCTTACCTTCAGGTTCTTTACTGTCCAGATTCTCATCTCGAGCACACCTAACCCTGCAGCTAAAATGAGACCAACAGCAAATATGTATTATTGTAATATGAACAAATTTTTGGAATAATAAATCTACATCTCTTTCGTATTTTGGAACTCCCACTTTTTACTAAAATGTATCTCCAAGTTTGGGTGACCCACCATTGTGTTAAAAGGGACAATGGTTGGAGAGTAGATAAAAGGTAAAGTCACAATCCTTGTATCATTTAAGATCATTTTCCTTAGACTGTAGCCCATCAGGATTCACTAATTTTTATTTCAAATAACCAATTCTGTTTACCTACATGCACTGTAGAGTTTGAGTACAGAGTCCTTTCTTTGCTGTCCAAGTGCCTTAGTTGTAGGTTAAGTAGTGGCTTTAGTGATCTTAAGAAAACAAAGAAAGAAAATAACAACCAATGCTTTTGTGGTGACGTTTGACATTTACATAACTGATTGTTCAGAGAGCAATTACTGCAAGAAATTACTTTGTTTAGATTTGAACCCTGCTCAAGAGCGAACTCAGATTGTGTAAATGCAGCTTTTCCACTGGGAAAATATCCAGGCTTGTTCTAGGCCAAAATAAATCCACTTTGAAATCTTCTGGCAGATTCATTTTCACCATTCTTTGAAAATTTCTTTCTGTTTATTTGTTTCACCAAGAATTAATATCAGTGGAGAGAAGCCGAAAGATCGATCTTGGCACACGCTGACACCGATAGGAGATGACAGACTTTTCCTTTTTGGTGGACTAAGCTCTGATAATGTTCCTTTAAGTAAGTAATTTAGAGATGATCATTCTGTTGTACTAACCTCCTATGACATGCGCATTTGTTATCTTTATCAAACTACTTAAATCTAAATCTTGTTACAGAATTTTCATAAAAAAATGTGAGATTAGTGAAAACTTGAGTGTCAGAGATATATTCCACTGGAAGGGGCAATTTTCTCAGTGTATCCAAAAGAAAAAAAAGTGAGTGTATTTTAATTCCAGATCTCAATGAAGTGAGCTTTCCATGACTGAATTAAGTTAAATTACAAAGAATGAAAAGATCCAAGCTAATGTGATGATGTTTATCTTAATATAATGCGCTCTTAGAACACAGAGCTTTTTGTATAAATAAAAAAGATGATATTTCATCTCAAGAAGTAGTACTAATGTATGTTTTTATATTGTAGGTGATGGCTGGATTCACAGCATTACAACGAATGGATGGAAACAACTTACCCATTTGCCTAAGAGTAGGCCTAGGTATACAAAAATAGAGACTATTTGCTGAAATGTAGGCATTCAAAAAAGTAAAGTAGTTTTAAATTAGCAGTATTTTTAAACTACCTTATAAGAATATTTTAGAAAATGAATGCAGTATCATTGAACAGTTTGCTCTACTAACTTCTGTTCCTTCATACCTGATGCAGCATTATTACTGTCTGTGTTACAGTTGATGCTTACTTGCATTAAAAGATTTTTTTTTTTGTGATGAAGGATCTGGGTGTCCAACTAACCTGGTGTCCTACAGCCAAATTGCTTTTATATAAGAAAATGTATATCACATAATTTCTGAGGAATTAATAACCTATGAGAATAATAGAAGTTGATTAATATTGACCCGGGATTAGAAACACGGGGAGACAACCATAGAGATGTTGATGCACCTTTCAAGGTTCGAAAGTAATATAAAATACCTTGGATATTTATTTTTTTTCCTGAGCAGAAGCAGTTAATTATAATTACAGTTTTGCAAAACTGAATTTCGTACCAAAGAGCACAGTAAATGACTGTGGAGTTTTGTTCCTTCGAGGACTTAAATGCAAACCAAAAAGGGCCTGGTTCCAGCACGTGTATTGTTCCTACTGGCAACAGCACTGTCTCTTCCACACCATGTTCCCCTTCTCCCTCTAGTTTAAGACTACAGAAAAGATAGATTCTGACTAAAAAAAAAAAATAAATCAATTTTCATGTTCTGACCCAGAATCTGCCATTGAGAACAGGTCCTTGCTGTAGCAGAGCACAGTCTTTTTCTTTTTTTTTAGTGCAGTGTTTGAAGCATTCTCTGTATTTGTAATGTAACTACGATTGAATTGGCTTGCTGTAGACAGTAAATATTCAGTTTTTTGTGGAAATCATTCTCTACGTTCACCCAGGTACTCTCAGCACAATTCTATTTAATTCTTTTAGCATAGTGTGTGGTGCTGGTCTGGCTTTTGCTTCCTGCCTTACGTTCTGTTTTCTATTACTGACAAATCTTTACCTCTGTTAATTTTTCTTCCTGTTTTATCCTATTCTAGGGTGTCTTCTAAATACAACAGCACTGTTATACCAAGTTTTCTGCTTTCTTATATTTCGAACTCTTTCAAGCCTAAATAAACTTATAGCTTAGTTTCATAGAATATTTTCTGTCTTTTTACAATTAGTGACTCTGATGAAGGGACTGGTGACTGCCTTAAGTAAGAAAGCACATTATTAGCGGTCAGGGATCACGTGTTCAGTTCTTTACTTGGATGGTCTCATGAAAGTTAGTTGCCGACATGCAAGTCATAATTAAACTTCATTAAAAAAAAAACAAAACAACCTAAACCAAGATACTTCCATAACCTTTTTCAGGAAGTCCTGAAAACATGGATAAAAGGAGCCATAGCAAAAGCCTCTCTATATATTAAACTAATTTGAGTGTGAAGTAATTACGTGTCCCATAATTGTACCCCTGTCCTTACAGGAATCTGCAGCATCTCTGCAATTGGAAAAGGTTTAAGTCAATTCTATTGCCTGTATGACTTTAAAGCAGGACTTAAAATGCACTGGCAGTAATACATATATGTGTACTTTTATATATTTATATTATTTTATATTAATTCACGGTCTGTCGTGTGCATTAGTGTATTTTACTGACGCTTCTGCAAAATTAATTCCTTCCTTAAATTCTGTAAAGAATCATTTCCTTCATCCTTCTTTTTTAGTAAATTCTAAAAAAAATTGTCTTCTGGGTTATAGATCTGTCATTCTGTGTTGGTAGAAAATACTTTCCTCCTTTCTGTTGTCCTTGGGCTAACACTTTGCATGCCAGGTTAAAACAGAGAACAAATTGTATGTTTAATATCGTTTCTCAGAGTTTTCCTTACCATGTAATTTTGTTATTCTGGATAGAAGAGCTGTGTTAAAAAAAAAAAAAAAAAAGAGTTGTATCAATTCAGCATGTGTATAATTTAAATAACGTGCTTTGTTAGAATGTTTAGGTGATAAGTTAGAGCATGAGAGGATGTAAAAACTCTGTCAGTCTGTAGAAAAAAGCATCAGGTTGCGAGCTAGGATGTCAGCAGAGCCCAGGCAGGAAAGGCCTCCCCAGTTCTTCGGTGACGATGTCCAGGCCCGAGTTTCCCTAAAGCAGATAAGGCAGAGACAGATCTATCTCCAGGTATGAGGAAGAGCAAAGGTGGGATAGAGTTTAGCCTAAGGAGAGTGGGGAATAATTACTGATGTGAATGGAGTTAAGAAAGTGAGAACGTTTACTTCTGCGTGAAAGTTCTAGGGGGGACCTTTTATTTGGGTTAAGTAGACTTAAAGGGCCAGAGCTCTGTGGTGATACTCATCTTGTGAAACTTCCTTCCGTGGTGACACACCAGGAGAAGAAAAAAAAAAAAATCATAGATTTTGATCTGCTAATAATAAAAAAGTAAATCTAGCAAGGTGTCGCTGCTCAAGTAGCAGAATCCTTGGTAAAGCAAGATTATACCGGTCAGACTGTATCAGTCAAGTTTGGGTGGGTATTTAATTTTATAGCGTGTGCTTTTAAATGCACAACACAAAACTTGTGGGGAGTGATGGAAGTAACTGACACACAGAAAACGATCCCCAGGAATCTTGGGGGGAAGCGTAAAGCTGGAAAGGGGATCACTTGTGTTCTGAAGCTCTCGTCCTAGTGCTTGGGGATAAGAGTCAGGACAGAAACCCCCCCTGATTTAAAGCCACTAGAATTGTAGTTATGAATTCAAGAAATGGTGAAAAAATTAAAAAAAAAAAAAAAATGGAAAAGAAGAGCTGTTCTTGGCAAAAGCTTGTTTTGTGCAGTTACTTTGTTTTCTGAAAGTTTCCCACTGCAATGTTTTGTTGAAGTAGTGATAAATAAGAGAAAGTATCTGTAACTGGAGTACAGAAAAGTCAAATAATGACAAAAACAGATTGGTCTGTATGAACTGTGATCATTCAGCAAAATTCTCATGAGATGGATAGTCACATTGCTCTCTCCTTTTATATCGTTAAAGTAACAAGTAAAATATTTTAAGGTATTATTTTTTACCTCTGAAGGCTTTTAGAATAATGTGTTTCACTTAGTTTTCTAAGAAATAGGGGTTCTGTTATTGTGCTCTTTCCATGTGTGGTGGCCTCTCCTTCCCGTGTACGTTATGAATCAATTGACCCATTTCCATAATATTTGAGGAAAAAAATGGGAAGCTCAGGGTTACTAAGTGCCAACATCATCTGTGCAGATAGAAATGGCCAAAGAGAAGAGAGAGATGCTGGTAATGGCTGCGCCCCGGTGCTTTTTCTCTATTCTTCCCTAGGGGCTGCCTTAAGACACAGCTTGATAAAGAACAGGCTTTATATTGTTTCTGCAGCCCAAAGGGCAACGTGTAAAATTATTTAAAACTGTAAAATTCTTCTGGGTAAGTAATGAGGCCAGTGAGACTTGAAGGAACTTACGTCCTTAGAGCAAAAGAGTCTTTCGAAAAGAAACTTGAATACAAAAAATGGAAGAGAGTCTGTGTGAGGTAGAGGTGAATATGCCAGTAAACTTCCTGCTTCTCTTAGACCCTGAAAAACATGTAGTTTTTTGATTTGTTTTGCTGTTAACACTCAACTCTGTGTTCTTACTTGGTCACTTAATTCTATTTATAATTTTATTTCTAGATTGTGGCACACAGCCTGCCTTGGGAAAGAAGGAGAAGTGATGGTGTTTGGTGGAAGCAAAGACGACTTGCATTTCATGGACACAGTCAGTAAATTGAATAATGAAATCCTAACACAATAATAATTAAAATAGATACAAAATGAAGTTAATACAATTGGTGATGTTACCGAGTTCATGTAAAGTAATTTATGAGGAGGTTTTCCTGCCTCTGTTAGGCTGATAAAAAGGAATTTGTTATTCAGATACTTTATAGAATCGTAGAATTGTCTGGGTTGGAAGGGACCTTTAAGGTCATCTAGTCCAACCATCAGCCTGACTCTGATAAAACCCATCACTAAACCATGTCTCCAAGCACTAGGTCAGCCCACCTTTTGAATACCTCCAGGGATGGGGCCTCAACCCCTTCCCTGGGCAGCCCATTCCAAGGCTTAAGAACCCTTTCAGCGTAAACATTTTTTCCAATATCCATCCTAAACCTGCCCTGGTGCAACTTGAGGCCGTTTCCTCTTGTCCTATGGCCTGTTCCTTGGGAGAAGAGACCGAACCCCTCGCCCTGGCTACACCCTCCTTTCAGGGGGTTGTAGAGAGCGAGGTCTCCCCTCAGCCTCCTTTTCTCCAGGCTCAACACCTACAGAAAAAACAAGTATTCTCAGTTCTTAAATTATGCATGTGGTAATAAATGCTACGTTAATCTAGAAACCAGCAGTATTTCTGAGAGAAGATGTTTGTCATTTTGATGGTTCTTTGTTTCTCTTGCTCAGGGTCACTGCAGTGACTTGTTGATATTTCAGACTCAGCCTTATTCGCTCCTCAGGTGAGTCCAGGCTGTTGGCGCCGAGTCTGACGTAAATCCTTACAACACTGTGCTTTTACACTCAGCTTTTCATCATTTACTTAAATACTGCTCTTTTTTTCCTTTTTCTTTTTTTTTTTTTTTCCCTCCTTCAGGTCGTGTCTCGACTGCATTGGCAAAAACGCCACTCTCTTGAAGTCCCAGATCCCGTGTTTGCCATCCAAACTCCTGCAACAGGTGCTGAAAAAAATCACCTTCTGGGCAGCAGTTACCCACCGGCGAGAGAAAAAAGCCCAAACGGAAAGACAAAGCCAACTAAATTCCACATGAACGAGGCGGTGGAGCACTCTGGTGTCTTTCCAAGCCTACGAGCAGAGTCTTTTTGTTAGTGAACTTTTCCCCGGGCGGCAGGAGGACCCTACGTTAAAGCTGAGTTTCTGAAGTGAAGTTTGAGAAGAAAGAAATCCTTTTTTACGGAAACCTCTTTTCGTTTCCTGTGTTCTAGAAAAAGAAAAAAAACTGATCAAAGCTTCCATTTTGTATATATGGTTAACTTCTGCTGTTGTGCTCTTCACGACACGGTCCTACGACTTGGTTCTTTTTGAAGGTGGCGGATGATACAGAATGTTTCCAGTTCAATAAAACACAGAGTAATCCTAAAACCTTCCCGCAGCCTCATCCCAGTGGCCCTTCTGAAAAGGGAAAATTAGTCCAATGCCGTGTTTTTGGAAGATTCACGCTTCGTTAAAGGCAACTAATCTGCTACCATCACCTGATCCCATTGATTCCACCAGCTCCCACCATCCGAGCGTCTGGTCGAATGACTCCAAGAAGGAAAATTGATGCGATTCGGGTGGGAATTGGGAAAATCCTGCCAGGAGCAGCGTTTGCCGTTTGTATAGGAAAAGCTCCCACCCAGTTTCACAACCTGGTTTTACTGCCTTTCTGTTAGCGACAAGTCCTTTTTGAAATAGGTTGTATATTGTATTTTGGATGTGTAAAGTTTATATTTAATTCTTGTTTAAAAAAAAAAGAAATATGCTTATTTATTGTTTAAAAAGAGCATATGTAGTACTTGCTATTTTTCTGTTTCAAAAATTTAGTTAACAGGAGCACAAGTCATTAAAATTTTATAGTTGAATCGAGAGACCAGTTTGGAGTGGTTCTTGACATTTTTACGCTCTGCAAAACTTAACTAATCGGGGGAAGGGGGTTTGGAGTGAAATTATAGCACCAAGGGAGGTTTTGTAACAGGGAATTGCAGCCAAGCCCTAACTTCAAGCCAACATTTAGTAGGTTTGGTGGCTCCTTTTAACAGAGAAGTTGGTGTCTCTGGGTTCAGGCGGGTTTCTGGTGACAGTGTTACCACAAACCCATAGAGAAAACTCTCTTAAGACTCAATTTGTAAGTTTCAGAAAGCGGCTGTTCTTTATGGCAGTGCTGGGTGTGCGGGGCATCGCTCCTCCTATTGTGCACCCCCAATGCTGTCGTCAAGCCAAACTTTTACAAGCCAGGTCTACGTGTTCAATTTAATGCCAAGAAAACATTAGCATATTCATTACATTTCCGAGAATTCATTTACATATTATAATGAGGGTTGGGGCATGTGTAGTCACTCCTTCTGGTGATCTTCATGCTGAGCAAAGGTTGTTTCTCCCTCAATCTTCATCCTCTCCATCTGTCCTTTGGCTCGCTTTTCATGTTGGCAAAACATTCTAATTACTTAATTAGCCATTAAAACTAATGATCTTCCTGCCACCACCCTGTCTGTCAGACAATGCCCCTGTTTACTGCATCCCTGTCGTGGGCCACCATCTTCCCAAGGCCACAGCCACCCTTTCTCATCTTACTGAGGCCTTGAAAGGAAATAGAATCATAGAATAGCTACATTTCTTCTCCAAACGAACATTCCCTACAGTTTAACCGTTTACGGAATATAAAAAGTCGGCTTTAGGGATCAAAAGAAACGCCCCAAAACCTGTCGGCCCCACAGGTTGTGGGGCGGGAGGGAAGGTTGCGGTAACGCCCCGCAGCATCCCCTTTGCCCGGCCCGCTCCCCAGACGGGTCTCTCCCTCAGGGGGATCTGGCGAGGCCCTGCGGCTCCACCGGCCTCCGGAGCAGGCCCCGGTACCGGCCCCGCTCCCCTCCGAGGCCTGGGGCCCGCCCGAGGCCGGGACTGCGCCTGCGCGGCCCTGCCGGAAGCGGCGGCCCCTCGGCGGATGTTGACGCCGCGCGTCCCGCTGAGGTGAGGGAAGGAGCGGGCGGCCCCCAGCCCCCGCCGCGGTAGGGCCCCGGGGAGGCGGCTCGGCGAGGCTCCCCGGGACGGAACGAGGAGGAGCGGTCGGTGAGGGGGGGATGAGGCCCTGTCAGAAGGCGGGAGGGTCGGGGAAGGC